CCCCCCCCTGGATCCGCCCTTGATTCAGACTCTTTATGAATAATTTACTATATTTAATAATCTTAAAAAACCTACAAATCATTAGCTAGTAAAAGAATGTCGTTTTCGGTATCCAGACCTAACCAGAGATTAATTCGTTTTAAATACTGAGGTTTAATATAGCCTTATATTTCAATTTTTAAACCTAAGAAAAAATTTAAAAACTTATTTTTAAAGCATATTTGATATCTATTACAATATTATGGACCCAAAAAAACAGTATTGTTTTGGAGTAAACAAATGTATGTGTAAGGTTAGTAGGCAGGAACAATAAATACATGTCCATATTAAAATTCCAAATTAAATGTATGTATTGTTTAAATTCCAGCGGCGGCGCCGATCTCACAAGAGGGCGAAGTGGCGTACAAAGACTGGGTGTTCATCAATTACACTTTCAAACGGTTCGAGGGTCTGACACAGCGCGGGACACCAACAAAGAAATGAGCCTCCACATAGGGAACGCTGCTGCAGGAGACCGCAGCCTGCATCGCCACCCTGCCCACTGTGATCCATCCCCCAACCCCTCCCCTGCCATCCCTACCATCCCTACCCAACTCGTACCCCACCCGACCCAACAGGCGGTCTACTCGCGCGGTATTCGATTGTGCAGCATGTACTATTCTGTGATTTACAGTCGGTGTTCTAATGTGTTAACTCGAACGTGTGGTTTTAAAACGTAAAACATTGAATTATGTACGATACAACACAAATGTAATCAGTGTGTTATCAAATGTGTTTGTAAGATTGTGTGTGACGTTGTGTAACGTCGCAGTGTGTAGGACACTACACGTCGCAGCCCACTAATCTCTCCTTTTATTTTATCCTTTTATATTTCTGTAATGTTCAAAGATCACTTATTGTATCAAAATTAAAAAAAAAGTATTTTTCGAATCGTGGTTACCTGTCTATTGCAAAGAAATTATTTACATTTGACAGCAGCGAGATTTTCTTTATACACTCTATGTATACATTGAAATGTTTGATGGTTATTGTTGAGGTGTGGTAGCGGCCCAGTTACCCGGCTCCGCCTCGCGATACATTCATATACGTATGCCAATTATTTTAAATTATACATAACTAATTGCATTATTGCTTGTTTAGTGTTAGTATTCAAAATGCATTTGTAGCTGACGCCAGGAGTTTGGGAAGGGGCTAGATATATATGAATTTGTATAATTTTTATTAACTTATGCGAAGCCCTTACCCATCTCTTCCTTGCCATTGCAATTTCATTTCAAGGGCATTTATTTTCAAATTATGTAAAACGATGAAATGTAACAAATGTATGTAAACGGCTAAATTTGGAAGTGCTTGTTTTAATGTAATATAACGCACCGCGCCGCTTTCCCGGTCCACATATATTTATGTACATAACTGTATAGAATCGTGTGGCTAATAAGCCAAAAATCACTTCACTTGGAATTCCGTCCAAAGGTTAAGTTACTGCCACAACATGAAGTTATTTAGCCGACATTTGAGTTATGAAATATCTATTTATTACAATTTTAACAAAAAAGTGATCATCAAAATCAAATGAATTACTATTAGGGGTGTAAAAAACAAGCACGTCTAATTTAAATGAACTTTTTTTTTACAATAATCATGTTTTTCAAAATGTGCGACTCGTTACGTTTGTATCGGAAATAAAAAAGTACATTTAATTTTGAATGTGATATTTTACACTATTGTATATATGAACTATTTTGGTCAAATCTAAATTGATGAAATTCATATTAAATCTAACGTCTGTGGGTTTCGGCCCTGATATTGTATTAACATATCGTTATCTCTGTTTTATGAAAGAGAATTTAAGAGATGACAATGTACGATTTCAATGAACTCAACAGATGTATTTTTAAATAACAACAGTTAATTTATTGCTAAATATTGAGAAACATTTTTTTTGTCCATGACAGTTTACCTCAGCGCCTTTGGAAGCGGGACATCTCATTCTTTGTCACTGTTAATGCGTCGCTTACATTTAATATACTAATTGCATTTTTATTTAATTTGTGTAAGTTATCATGCATCATTAACATTTACTATCTTTTTAATTATCTTAAGCTGAATGAAACTTTCAAAGCTCTGTCTATCCCATAAGGGCGACAACTTCCGTCGACCGATTTACATATAGGATACGCCGGTATTTATGTGTTAGAGAATAATTTTAGATATAACACAAGAACAAGTAGTTTGTAACGCCTGTATTGCGATGACGTGCGAATTGTGTGGACATACATAATTTAGTTACGTCGCTCTCTTAGCCATCGGCTCGTTAAATGATACAATTTTCATGTATTTGAATAGTGAATTGATGTGATTCAACCGTATTAATTGTGATGTTTCGGTGTTAGCGATGTGAATATGTGCTTAGGTAATTGTGTGGGCGGGTCATACGAGGCCCCGCCCCCGCCCCGCCCACCCCCGGCCGGCAATCCGCCGCGTGCGCATGTCCACCGACATGACATGCTCACCGCTTTGTACATAGCACTGGAATCTATTTGATATCAGTTGTAAGTTTGCGTTCAAGACTCGCCGCTGCCGGCGACGTCACGCGCTGTCTCGCATGTTTTTAACTTCTTAGCTATTTGCTTTGTTATTGTTATTAAAAAAAAATTAAAATGAATTATTTAATATCATAAATTGTAAGTTTTAGAAATATTTTGTTTTAAACATATTGTTTCTTCCATGTGATTAAAGAAAGTGGCAATATTAATAAGCATTAAAGCTATATTAAATCGTGAATTTTTATTTAAACATCCCTCTTTCCTTTCCTGTCCATATAACTTTGTAATTTTCAGTAAGGGGTCCTGAGAATTTGTTGAGTAAGCCAAGTAGACAAAAAGTGATTCCGATCGAAATTTTCTTTGAAGAAACTACGTTGGTACCCAGTAAACATAGATGGCAGCACTACTTAGTGATTTTTGATACCATCCAAATATTTCAAATGGCATTTTATGTTATACCTCACTAGATGGCGCTATTTTCAATATTTGATGGACTTGTAGAAATAATGTGTATAAAAATCATATTTTAATATTTCAACCAATGAAATGCCTACGACGATCTCACAGAATACAGGCATGAATATTTTTTTTACACAATTATTTCCTCTTGATATTTATATCTGTAAATCATTAAGTTTTTAACCGAATGTACAAAATATTTTCAATTCGTCTTTCAACTATACTCAACGAGTTTAGCAGTCTTTTTCTTTTTTCAGTCTCAAACAAGAGTTAAATTCAAAGAAAACGTATATTTTCGTCATATGTCGCAGAGTGAGATTACTTACCATCAAATAAACTTCTTGGTCGTTTGCCAACTAACGTAATGTAAATATATTACTTGGGATTTGTTAAACTAGGTTTTGAAATAAAACAAGTGGTATGAGTATACATCAATCGTGTTTATTTAGTCTCAAATCGTGTATGAAATATAAAACACTTCAGAAAATTGTTGTAAGGCGTGTTGTTCGCTACCGAATGATACCATCGAGGCATCGAAGAGGGCGGTAGTTTTGGCAGTAGGATTTAAATACCTTACCGTCATACAACATGCCATGCAACTTACAAGCGCACATAGCTTTAACTTAAGTATTGCAACTAGAAAATAAAGCGATTACCGATACAACAGAAGAATTATACAAAAAGGTAAAATATTCTTACAAAGACAATACTTTTTAAATCGATTGATAATAAGAAATCAGTAAGTTACTAAGTAAATCTTAACAATGAAATATAATCTTAGTTAAAACTACGATGTGCGCTTGTAAACGAAGAGGGTATTTATATATATGTATACATACAAAAATTTATTCAAAACTAATCACAAAATAACAGCCAGATCTTAGACGAAATAGTCATTGCTAGATAATAAAGGTTCAAAAATTTTCAGTCGTTACGCCTAACAACAAGCCATTTTTCTAAATAAATGTAACCATGTTACGTTTAAATCTCAATAATGAGATCGATTTTTGCCCATTCAAATTAATTAAAGTTTCCTGCGACATGTGTGCTGATCAAATTTAATTATTTACTTTGGAATTACGTCTTAACCGAATTATATGGAGATTATTCAGTATTTAAATTATTCATTCGAATTTGTCAACTTAAAAGGTTTCGGGAGGCCATACTGCATACGGCACACTGACGCTATTTTCAAAAGAATTATGACGAAACAACGAAATATTTGAACGTTAATTCTTAGAACAGAGTTCATAATAAAACTAGACACGTGTAAAAGAGTTCTTAGATAAAATTTAAACATTGAATTGATTCGTGCGATGTGCTTCACCTACAAGTTACACATATACTTATAGCTTACAATTTCCTAATGTCGAATATTTATATTCCTGTTGTTAATAATAATAATTTTTTAGCTGCGATAACACACATTTTTATTGTTCGAAGATGACACATTTTTAAACACAAAGTTGTTTTTGGAATAAAAAAAAATATGACAAGAAAGGTTTTACTTTCCCTTTAAATAAGTTAGTTTTATGCTTACTTAAGCATTCATTTCGATCACATTTACTGCCGCTTGTTGCGGTCAGTGTTAATACAAGTGAATACACGGTTAAATTTTAGGACATTTCTTGAAAATTCTAACTAGGGTTTTGGTGTTTTATACCAATGTGGAATAATATTCTAAAAAAGTTAAAAATGTCTTATTAGTCCATGTTCATTTCTTGATAATTAAGATACGATAATGATTTACTACACCACTTTACAGGTCATAATGGCTTATGATGGTCGCAAGACACTATCGAGAAACTAAATTGTCACCGTTCTTTTTTAATTATTTCTTTTTTACTAAGAAATAAACAAAAAATGGTTAATTGTTCAAGAAACCAAATACGAATTAAGTTTCGAAAAAATAGTTACTTGTTCGAATAAAACGTACTTTTAATTCGCCAAATTTATCTAACTAAGATACTAACTTAAAAAATAAGATAAAATTACAGTAAATGTTATTGTAAAATTGCCTATAAACTTGATGCTTTAGCACTTTGCGGCGTCGGGCGTCGACCACAATAGGTTCATCGTTTAAGATGAATATTTAAGAAAAAGAATTCAAAATAAGAAGATAAGGCTTCGAATAAGAAGATAGTCGAAAAATATGTCTTCCTTAAAATTGCTAGAATTGTATATTGAATAAGTTAGTTACCATAGAGGGACACATCTAACAGTACACAGAAATAGATACGAGTACTAGAAGTGTCGTACAAGCGCGTGTAGAGTGCCGAGTCCGTACAGAGCATCTAGATTCCAACTACAACACTGACTACAAACAACATTCGATCCTAAATCGAAGGGAATACGATTCATTTTGCCATTTGACTAAAGGACCTATTTCACTATGTATCTGTTAAGGTATAATAAGTAGGCTACTAGATATAATACCAGGAATTATCCGGTTTCATATGACTTTTCACTAAATATACGTTTACCTAACAACATCTAAAATAATCGGCTCACGAACAAAATCCACTACCTTTTACAAATGCACACGTACGTAATTATCTATAATGGGTTTGCAATATTTAACGCTTTGAAATCCGATTTAATACGCTTATTTAGAATTCGGAACTCCAAGTTTCTGTGAACTTCATTATGAAAATCATATTACAATCACAACGTACGTGTGCACGAAACGAACGCAACGAGTCGCATCGATTTTTACCAAATTAAATAAATTTACTACGACAATATATGTGTGGGTATATTTTATTATGCCGCATTAGTCCTATGAGGGTTGCTGTTAGTTAGATGTGCTGTCTAGTAGTAGTCGCTGTTGAAGGCGTTGCTCGTGCAGTTGCCGTTGTCGGTGGGCGAGTCAGGGTGCTCCTCGGGCTCCACGCCGTTGGTACGCATCTCGTCACGTACCTTTAGGTCAATCAAATCATAAGCGCAATCAAAGAACTACACAAAATTATATTCAAACAAACATGCCAACAGTCGGGAACAAGAGAACTCTTCTACCTGTCGTAGCACTTTAAACAACGGATAATTTGATATTTGCGTCAAATATTAGCTGAGCATAACACAATAAAGTTTGCAATATAAGCTTAGTTTTGACAGTTTTAACTGAACAGTTCAACTTAACAGCCAGTTAGAGTTAAGCTTCTGTAGCGAGTTTATAACAGGCCTAGGTAATTTGTATATTATTAAATTAGTTTAATTCGATATCTCCAATTAGCGATATTCCTACGGCTGTTATACAACTTGTGTTACGATTTAATGAAACATACTGTCATTTCTGTTTAGTCAGAATATATGTGTGCTTGTACGAACGTTTCTGTAGTAAAAAACGATGGTAATAAAAGCGTTTACCTTCTCGACTTGTCGCATGACGCGCAGCATGTTGAGTCCGGCGAGGTTCTTCAACTCCTGCACGCTCCACTGGCCGCTACGCAGCAGCTCCGCGAACAGCTCCGGATACTTAGAGACGTCTTCCAGGCCGCGGGGTACGCTGTTTGTCGAATACCCGTATAGTACCAGGCAATTTGGCACGACTGGTTCAAAAATGTGTACTTGCCGATGGTTGGTGTACAATCTTTTGTTAAATGTTTAAAAATTGATCGTTTATAACCGGATGTATTCTTTCAATACATATCTAAGAAATCAGTTATTTTCACCTTCATAATTACAGTTCATAGAAAAATCTACAATAATCGAGCTTTTAAGGTACGATTTTAAAAAGTAACAAACCGATTGACACCATCGAAGTCGCCACCAATGCCAACAAAGTCTGCGCCAACCAGCTTCTTGATGTAGTGGAAATGTTCTGTACAATTAAAAAAAATGTATCGATTGTACTCATTAAAATAAAATATTAGACGAAAAACAATGAAGATAAACAAGATGGAAATGTAATCATGTTGAATCAGAAATGAGACGATTAGAATTGACAAGTTCATCCTTTTGACTTAATTCCTCTGACGTTTATAGGTCGAGTGCTCCTTGGCTATTTAATTATCTGGCACGTAATTAAAATATATTGCCGCTCTGTTCGTGATTAAAGCTACCTGAGATTTGTTGGTCCCTGTCGACGTTACCTTTAATAATAATCACTGATAATGGCAAAGTTTAAATGAATTACCAGCGACGTCAGAGATAGTGGCGTTGGGTGCGCATTTCACGAAATCGGGAAAGAAGTTCACCATTATGATGCCGCCGTTTTCTTTCTAAAAACCAAATAGACCATAAATACTTAAATAAAACAACATTCATAGTAATACATTTGATTTAAAGAAAGCTTTTTCTATATTAGCGAAATACGCCGACGAAATAACGAAGCGACGCTATCCATAGACATCCGTAAAAGCAGATGCGTTGCCTACCTTTAACCAGACGGAGGAGGGGATGCACGGGATAGAGGATATTTCTCCTTCCTATGCGGCCCGACCTCTGTCCAATTAACTTTTCACTCTCATCCATTCCTTGTATAAAAAGGGTGGGAGGGGAAAGACTTAAATTATATTGTTTCATATTTCAGTTATCATCGCTATAAAAACACTTATATTATTGTGGCTTGATGATAAACTATTCATCTTAAAATAGAAATTAAAAGACAAGTTTTTTTACTTTGCGAAAGTTATTATATTCTTAAGAGAATTGAATAAGCAGGAATGAGATTAGTCGTCTGAGATTATTCTGTCTTAAACACTACGCGACAGCAGCTATGCGAGACTGTCTTTGTTGGAATTCTAATGGAATAATAATTTATTTCTCTTCAAATGTTATACGTTTTAGAAATATTTACAAAGACAGTTTAGTAAAATTGAACCTTATAAACTCCAAACATATGTAATATCTGCCAATGCGAAAAGATTTTTTAATTTAATTTATTGGTTCCAGAAATAAAGGCGTTCAATTCTGATTTGTTACATTAGTATCTTTATATCTCAATGTCTATTTCAGTAGCAACTCAAGCACTCAAAGTTCTTAAAATGTTATAACATCATACAACTATTTTTGCCAACTAGAGTGTTGTAGAACCTTGCCCAGTACGAGTATATGAAATAAATTATAAATTCTTTTACCCCACATTATTTTTAATATCTAGACTATTGTAATAAAGCGTAAACACACACTTCTTTGTTGCCTAAGATGTCAGCAATCACAGCATATTTTCGAATAACTCCTTTTTTAATAAAAAGCCCTACACTTAGGTCACGCTTTAAGCTATATATTTTCACGCCGTTAAACTTAGGGGTAAATATTTTGGATAAAAACCCTAATGTGGGAAAGAGACCATAAGTTGTTGCCAACATCAAGGAAGCAAGGTTGCCATGGTTTGACATCTGATAACTTGATAAATATAAACAATAAAATTATTTTTTGATAATTCTATGCGGATGAAGTCGCATAGAAACAGCTAGTCTCTCTATAAATTAGTAAATTGTTACTTTGTAATAAATATTTTATAAAAAAGCAAAGTAATATTAATCAGAGTATAGTGTAGAGAACAGAGTTCGTTGATGTTAGATTTGTTTAGTGTCGTACTTAGAGAAACATTTTTTAATAAAACAAGACTATTACAACTTTTATTATAACGATAAGCTAAAAATAAAATCATTTGTAAATTACTTAAGTAAGATTTATTACTAAATTTTACTGTAATTCTTAGCTATAAATAATACCAATAGTAAAGAAATATAGCTTAAATACGTGCGTCAGGGCTCGCGTCGCAAAACAAATATTGAAATGTTCCCCCAAGGATGGATTTGTTCCAGTGTGTTTACACAGCTTTTTATATCAATTCTACGTCAGAGGAGCGTATTTTTGAAAGCATTCTGTGATTTAACAATTTAAGTTAGCAATTCTTGTAGATTCGATGAATTAATTCAGAAACATTTTAGTATTGAACTAGTGATAGAAATAGTTCAATATCCAATATCAAATATAACCCAGTTTCGAATAATATGTGATGCCACTTATTCTGTTATATAAAAAGACATAAGAATTTATTTATCTCTTGTTTTTCAACTGGAGAGCTTTGGATTAAAATTTCAGAAACATCTAAACACTTACGGCCGTATACCGAAACGACAATGAAATATCCAATAGTGTTTTAAATATTATTGCCAGTCTAATTTCCATTGAACAATTTCCATACTAAATGGATACTATAAACCAAGTGAAGTGTTTAAGATTTGTTGCAGTGGTCTGTTAGTTATAAGACATGTGATAATACGTACCAAAGATTGTATGATGTCATCGGGAACATTTCGCTTGTGAGCACAAAGGTTGTATACTGAAGAGTGGCTGAATATGACCGGCGCCTTTGACAGCCGGATGGCAGCACGCGTCGTGTTCTCACCGACGTGAGACAGATCCACCAACATACCGAGCCTATTCATTTCTTTCACCACTTTCTGTGTGACAATGGACAAGAAATAAACGTAGTTTTCAAACGGCGTTTAATGCCAACATATCTATAGAACTTCTAGAAATCGCTCTGCACTGTGTAACTAGTCGCAAAATAAATCTTTAAAAATGTTTCTTTAATACAAGAAATTTTTAAAGCAATTTATAATTCACAAAATATTTAAAATTCAGTTTCACTTATTTAACGTCTTTCATCAACACATTATTACTTGATCATTATCTAGATGGTAATAATACGTGTATTTGCAATATTGGAGACGCGTTAGTCTATTAAAACGTCATTCGCACCATGCATGCAAATTTGACGTGACAATTACACGTCAGTTGGGCGAACAGTGCGGATACAATAGGACGGAATTGAGTTATATCAGGATTTAGGATTCCGAATAGATTAAATCTTGTCAACAATAAATAGTACAAAATGCATAGAATTTTATCACAAATGACTAATTCCTCACAAATAACATTTGTAAAATTAATGATATTGCCACTCGCAAACATAAAGAAAAAATAAAATATAAAGTATTACATAATTGACGCGGCAGAGCACACATTAAATGTGGAAATTTTAAAGCAAGAATTAAATTAATGACGCGCATACGAGTAGGAATGGCCATTTTTAAATGGCATGTCGATTGAAGAGTGGAGAAGTGTTTTTCATATTTCGAGAGCACGTAGTGAGAGCTACAGCCTACTGACTGTTTAATACTTACTGCGATATTACGATGACGATGCAGATTAAACAATTAAAGGTGATTCGCTGTTGCATTACTATTAAACAATGATTACTCACCTCTCCAAACTCCGTGAGTCCCTCGACCACTGGGGTTTCATTGGACGAATCGGCCCTAAATAATACAAATAAATGAAACAACATAACTCAAAGTACGCAGTAACATCTCAACCGTAGACTAAAAAACGAACAGTTTTCTCTTTATCTTACGAATTTTCATCGTAAAATGCTCTAATTAAAATCTCCATATTTCAAATGAAAACGTAACTCAAATTTCGTGTCTAAATTGTTTTTTGAATAAATACCAACACAATCAATCAACGAGGCCTGTAACCACTGGAGCGTAATTACCATGACGCTGCGGGCACGATTAAATTCGAGCACCTAATTAGATTTTATGTTATAGTAATTATAAATTTCAATTATATTACTAAAAGCTGGTTACATAAAAGGTAATTGAAACACTCGTTAGCTACACTTTAAAGGATGATCGATCGATAACAAATTTAATGAAAACCACAGACTGATCAACTGTATATTCAGTATAGTTAGTTGTGAAAAAATTATATTTTGCTGTACTCATACATGGCATTCTGCTTCACATTCTACGCATAGCACATACATAGCTCAATAGAAATCTGTTTGTCTCTGAATCCCCGCCAATCTATATCTCGGTAGGATATAAACTCCATACGATATTCAATAGAACGTGTGTTTTTGCTGTAAAAGAACAATATTACTTTACATTGGCATTTGTTCGTAAGAGAAAAGAAATTTAAATGAATGTTTTTTCAAAGGAATTTCATATACCTTTGTAAAAACGAGTCTACACAGGTTGCGAACAAAATCGATATTTCGAGCGAAACGTTAATCTATTCCTTTTTTATCGAAGGGAAGCGAGGATGGTTGAAATTTTATTAAAAACTTTATTGGAATTCTATTTTGTCACAAAGTGTTTCAAAAAGTTCTTTTAATAAAAATTACAATGTCTTTTTAAAAAAATCAAGCCACGTTCAGGCAAATCCGTTGGGGCGTTGTAAATGATTGATATGTACGACACAATCGCGTGAGGTTTATCGTGGGTTTACACTGCCGAAACATTCACAGACAGACGCATTGTCATCCCTTTCAGTCTTATTGAAGAAACATAAACATACATAGATAAGGTTCTGTAAAGAAATATCTTTAGAAGCCCACGGTTAATATGAACGGATAATAGAATCTTTGGCTTTTACAGGTGCATACAAAGCGTTTTATTGAATCTAATAAAACGAGGATATATTTTGGATCGTATTAAGAGACTTTTAACACGTGGAAACTCGCGGTTTCCTCACACTCAAATGCAACCGTATCGTGTATCGTTTAACTCATTTACCGATAATTAACAAATCCTAAAAGTAAATTAAAACCTATTATTCATTTTCCTTCAAAGTATTTACGTTATAATTGGATTGAATCACAGAGGCCGGTAATTGCACTCCATTGTACTAACTTAAGGTATAAAAAGTAGAAGCTTTTCTTGTTACTATACTAAAATTTGTATACGTTAAATTTATCGTTAAAATCTGAAGGTATACGCAGGCTTTTGTTTATTTTAAGATAAGTCTCCGACGAAAAGAGTACTAATAAGAGAATTGTAAATCATCCAGGGGTCTCAAGGTGTTTCTTACCATGGAGTGTTGCATGTGTGTGTCAGAGTCATGTAACGCACGCCAAGTTGGTAGTAGCTGCGCAGGACTCCCAGAGAGTTGGCGATCGAGTGCCCGCCTTCGATACCGATCAATGAAGCGATCTTCCGCGGTCGGGCGCTATGAGCTTGCAGTATGTCTGCGTAAAGGAAAAAGTCATTATGGCAAAGATAATATGTAAAGAGAATGTCAAAACTTTTAAAATGTCTTTTTGTTAGGGATAACTTGTAGGATTTTGTACTCTACGTTGTTGTGCCAAGTCAAAAAATAAAATCCTGGTTTCAGACCTAAATAGGAACACCACTATGATAAAAGACGACATAGTAACTTTTAAATGGTCAGAAATGTTTTTTACAACATTGACGAAGCTTCAACGTGTTCTCGACTCAATCACGTTTACTTTACCCGTGACGGAAGTGGCCAATTGCATTTGCATCGGATACTTTTCAACCAGTCGTTTGATGACGTCAATCTGCTCGAGCGTCAGTTGCACGGCATCCTTGTTCTGAGTGGCGCATGGAACGAACGCAGACCAAAACTGCAAACAATTAAACAAGTTTACAAACGAAACAAACATCGAAAAGCTGTTTCGATTAAACCAAAGAAAAAAGAATATTCACATACGGGATTATAGAAATTGTTTATTTCATTTTCATTTTGCATCATTTTTACTTCATATGGTTTTAATTTTTAAAAACGTTCGACAGGTTATTTCAGTTTAAACCGAAAAACTACAGGGAAGAAATAAAAAAACTAGATGCATTTATTTTAAAATCACACAGCTTTTAAAACGGAAAAGATCAATGTTTATAAGAAAGAGTGTTAGAAAATATTCGATATTCGATAAACACTTCGATCGTAGTTAGTTCAATAAAAACTTGTTTACGAAAGCGAGGGACAGCGTGTCCAAACAATGCAGAGTGACAGAACATACATCAATCATAACGTAGTGTTTTGTTTGTGGTACGTTACACTTCACGTACTCGTAGCACTATTTAATTTTAATCGAAACAATATCCTTGTCCATTCGACAAACTATAATGGACGTAGGTAGATTATTCCATTACATGTCCATATTTCAACTGTAGTATTATTTTATTATAAGTATTATTTACTGAAATTTATCTTCTTAATTGAAACTCTCGCAAAAATTTTACATGTGAACGTTTTGCCGAGTTTTATTTGATGCATTTTAGTAGCTATTGATTAATAAACGACTACCCGATGAAAAAACATGCAGTTTCGCAGAATAAAAAGTAACGTGTTTGCAGACAGTTCAATTATCGAACTCCGTAATTGCTTTTTTTACATTTTCAGTGCAAGGAACTTCCTATGTGCACAATGTATGTAATGTGTATGAAGACATGAACGACAAAAACTACATGAGTTTCCACTCGCGCTCCATGAGCGTCGGTGGCGCAGGTGTTTGAGCACTTGAATTTTATTCTACAGATCTTAGGTTCGAATCCCGCCATGTACCAATGTGATTTTAGATTTTTTCGAATTTCATATGTACATAATTTACTCGACGTTCTTTCAGTGAAGGAAGACATCGTGATGCAACCTGCACGAATTGGCGAAGAAATTCAAAGATATGTCTGAAGTCAACCCCCCCCCCCTATTAGGTACTTTATGCGATCGCGGTTTATTTAACATTCGTTTTAAATGTAAAGACAACCGTTAAATAACATTCACTAAAATGTGTAACATAAAACTTATAAAGCAGTTTCTTTCAAACTTGTTAAAGTGGAAAAAATCATTTGTTTTTCTGTTTTTATCTGGTCCAAGCAATTTGTAAGATTTTAATCTTTCGTCCAATTAGTAAAATTTACGCAGGATTTGTTTAGTTGAACAATTCTAAATTGTCAAACTCCATCTGATGTAATTGAAAAGGTTCGATTTGGGTCAAGTTCCACCCACGAGGAAGGAGATTTGATTGCTTCTCTGAAATTGTAATTTAAGGGGAAAACGTTAATAATAGTAAATCGTAAATGGTAAATGCATTAACAGAGATTTAACAGAGAGATAGAATTTTTTTTTGTATTAAAAATGAACATAAAACACACAGATAATCTGATTTAAAGTTATACTATATTTGAACCCTATAAAGAGAATCTATTGGTTTTGATTTTAAAGTTTGGTGAGATTTTACATTGTGTAAAATTAAAAGTTAAATCTAAATTACAATAAAACCGAGGTTTTCACTAGCGTTAGGCTAGTACTAGTATACTACTTGTAATACGAACTGAATGCTGTCAGACACATAGATTCAACATATAGCGAGGTAAAAACGGCTGGTTGAAATAACTATCCTCTCGTGACCTGAATAAGTCTTGTGGCACAGCTTCCAAGTTTCGACGCTTTTGTCTAGTTCTCCTCTTTTATTTTGCTTGCAGACACGCGTATATTTACGGTCACAGTGGTTCCTTTGTAATGTTGAACATCCTTGTCTGTTTGTTGCTTTGTTTCTGCTTATAGTTACTACATGTTTGTGAATGGAAATATATATACATATATACTGAAGAGTTAACTTTTCATTCATTTTTCATACGGAATTAAGACTATTTTTTAAAATTAAGAATTGACTTCGTGGAGTCGCGGGCAACAGCTAGTAATAAATTAAAATCTTACTTGAGCTCCGACCATGCCTCTCCTCAGTCTGGGAAGATCAGTGTGCGAGTATTTAGAGATGGACCACGGCTCGACGACGGTGAGGTCGGTATCAAGTTCGAATTCGTTGATCTGGTTACGTAGAAACTTGCGAATATTCCACGGCAGATCGTTATGGCTATAGGATAGATTTATTGTTATAATCTAAATTATAGACAACTTAATTTTGTTATAGCTAGATGTAAGAGTTGTGTGACCGACCGAGCGTGAATGCAGCTCATTTGTAATATGCTGAGGCAAATTGTGTACTCGGTTTATTGCATATCGAATTATCATGAGCACCCGCCTGCCCGCGGTAGTTATTACCATTGACTTCAATTTAAACCAATCAAATCATATCATGAATGATAAATCTAACAGTATCGAAAACATACCACGTGAATATTGCCAATCAACTAATTATCAAACTAATATGACTCATCAATCATAGATTAATTAATACTTTTAGTAACATTAAAGCAAATTTGAAACTTTACAATTTGCACAGACAAATTACAAATTAACTGATTATTTTACGGCAATAGCCGTCATAATAGTAATGACTAACGTCTATTTTTCCAGGGGCGGCACAGTAAAAAATTGACTTGAGTAATAGCCGGTAAAGTAATTAGTTATAAAAATGTCTCACGAAAGTTTAAATAATTTAAATTACAAATTACACGAAATCACGATCAGTATGAATTTTTATCCGGAGGTACTTACCCGTCGGTGAGCGGTACCTCCTCCAGTATCTGCTTGGCGATGTCGAGGCGCTCGCGGTCGTAGGAGGCAGCGGCCACTACCGCAGTCACGGCTAGCAGCACGCACGCCACCGCGCGACGCTCGCAACGGTTCACCATTCTTACTGCAACATGATGTTTATTTAGATATTGTCCAGTCAACCTTTATTTCCTATCTAATGTCACTTCTGTGAGTATGTCGAAAAGTCGTGTCAGATTCGTTTCGACTCTTATAATCATAAAAGCTGAAGTATGCTCATTTCAAACTAAGCTATTTCGTAAAATCGCGGGTACGAAAATAGAGCCAAGATGGCCGTTACCACGCAGGTACAGTTGGGTGAAAATATTTTATAACATTGTGTTATCAGAAGCTAACTATACGTTCCCACTGAGGGGCTCGGAGCATACCTGAAGTAAGGCGTGAATAGGCCTTGATCTACAGCGCTGAACCAGCTTATGTTGATTAACGATGTTTCCTTAACCGTACTAACGGTGGGTAAATTATGTACATATGAAATTCGAAAAACGAAATAACAATGCTACATGTAGTGATTCGATTCTGGGACCCACTGATGCTCTTATAATATCGTTTGATTTAATGGTTTTCTGTAATTTGCTGGGTTTACAAATTACTAAACGAATGTTAAGATAGAATTTGTATTTATTGCTGCCTTAAATTTATCTCTCGATGCGTTCTACATTCCACTTAGTTTCGAAGTAAATTATAAAAACCGTATGCGATTAACGTCTCGTCTGTACTTTACTGGGAAAATCAGTTTCCGCGCAGGTTCTACTCACGTGCAGCTTAATAAACAAGTTTAGAAGTAGTTCTTTTTATGTAGCATTCATTAAAAAAATGTAATCCATGAATACTTTCAAGTGGAATAACGCTTGAATTTTTTTGGTACATTTAAATACAATATGTACTTGTACGAGGTTTTCACATTTATTTAATTCAACTTCCTTAAAAGAAAACGTACGGAGAGATGCTAGAGATGCAAACGGTTGAGAAAAAGTATCAAAAGAAAATATTTTCATACTCACAAGTAGGTTAGTCATAGTTGTTGAGTTCAGAAGAGGTGGGTCTCATAAGGTTCTGGTTTCATGTAAAAAAACACGTTTGCTCGTTTTCACGTCAAATATAATTTTGTTAAATCGAAATTATCCAAGTCATAATGTTTTTAAAAAAATAAAAGGGATGTTTTGAGGAGGGAAATAATCCATCTCAGAAAGATGACAGATGTGACGTATGACGGTAATTGTTGATTCCTGTTCCTGTCACTCATCTAAATTACGCTAAATCCACCTTTTCTTATCAAATATTTTTTATGTCATACTAGCTTTTGCCGGCGATTTCGTCCGCGTGGAATAAAAAGAAACAAAAGTAAGAATCCTATGTGTTTTTTCAGACTATCCACTACATCTATGCCATTTCATCGAGATTCAGCAGTTTAGGCTACAAACATCCATCCATTTAAACTTTCGCATTTATAATATTAGTAAGATTATGAACGTTAAACATTAACTGTCAAAACAAAAGTACCTTACTGTGTCTCTAATTTCATATATCATCGTTTCTTCAAAAAATACTTTCATTTTTTCAATGCAAACCTCCATTAAAATGTCAACAAAGCTTCGGTAATTCGTATTGGTTAAATTTTTTATAAAGGTCTCTGTAAAAGAGCTGAGAATATAAAAAAATGTTCGCAGCGTAGATTGAGCTGCTTTGATCTTTGGTGGATGTTTTTGCCAATGCTGTTGTATGTTGGTAATCATTTCTACGGCCGAATTACCACGTTTTGTATGCGTTGTGCAGCGGGATATTAAGAACATTTATTTTGGTGCTTCGTGTTCTGATTAAAAAAAATGTAGTATGTTAAACAACAGTAAATATCACATATATCAGTATAAATACTAAAGCAATATTTACTACGATATTAAGTTAAATTTTCTAATTGTGAATATTACAATGTTGTAGTATCTTGTATGAGCGTCGGTGGCTCAGTGGTTTGAACACTTGACTTGTAATCTACAGGTCTTGGGTTCGAAACCCGCCGCCGTGTACCAATGTGATTTTCGATTTTTCGAATTTTCATATGTATATAATTTACCCGACGTTCTTACGGTGAAGGAAAACATCGTGATGCAACCTGCACATATCGGCGAAGAAATTCAAAGATATGTGTGAAGTCAACCAACCCGCACTTGGCCAGCGTGGTTGACTATGGCCTAGTCACCCCATATTAGGGTAGGCTCCGAGCCCCTCGGTGGGGACATATAGTGAGCTGGTGATGATGATGAGTATCTTGTATGAACTTAACATATTTTTGGCTCAGACTTTTTTCGTTTATAAAATAGAATACAATGTATTTCACAAATTGTTCGTGTAGATTTCGAACTGGATAGTATCATAGCTTACATCCGCTATCTTTCAAATGGTCGTCTCAAAGCGTCGCATCGATCTCGCGGAAAATTTAAAGACGGGTCTCGTGCTCCGAGCAATTCGCTTCGTGTCGTTTGTAACCCGCCCCGTCGCTTTACTTACCTTGTGTCTGTCGACAATTTTGTTACAGATCCTTTTTTCGATTCACATATATTTTCTGCACAAAATGTTGTGTAGGTACTTCTAAATTGAAGGTTCTCGTATCTATTCCGATTTATTTACGAATACCTTTTTTAACAAAAGAACACTGCGTTTAATTTGTCTGATTTTTGCGTTCCATTCGATTTTATGAACAAATACATAAAATAACCGAAGCGGCAAAATTGAGTAGATATCAAGTTGTAGTGATTAGACTTGATTTAATATTAATTGTTCACAATCACAACTGTTACTTTGACAAAGTTATTACACCATTATATTCGGAGAAGTTATAAATCAAAGTGATATTACAAAATGGTAAAAAGTCATGCTTATACTTCTAAGAAGATAAAACGACAAAAGCTTTAATTGATTAGTTAATCCCAAAAGTAACACCGATTGAATGTATAAAAAGTGACATATACTCGTATGAGTACATTAATTGGGATATCGTAATACAGTGCTGAATCTAATTGGCTTATTGCGTCCCGCTGATACCGAGTGTGCTGTTAATATAACGGGAAACGCTAATTGGAAACTCAATACTGGCGAATTGTGAATCTCGATTTACTTACAACATTTACATGTTCCAGATTTTGTATTTCATTTCACAGTTCAATAGAATTCAATTACATAAACGAACAATCCACTCGCATTTAATTAATTTAATCAATTTGTAAAATAAAATGAGCTTTTAACGTTGTATAAAAAGTAAAAGAATACTTCAAGTATACTTCAAGCCTACTATCGATGCTCAGTTATAATTGACAACTTTAATTAAAGAATCGAACAGTTAGAATTGTCATTACTGTCAGGTATGTAGCAGGATAAATGTATTTCTTAGCTTAAGTAAGGTGTTATTAAAGTAAATTTGTCATTAAGTTAGAGCTTTTGTCTTGCTTACATATTTAGATAAAAAATATTAAGCTAATAATTAAAAATAATTTTCATAAAAACGTACCTGCAGTTGCGAAATTAGGCAGTTTGATAGTTAAACGCCAAAAAGGCGTTCCACCTGAAACAAAAGGCAGACGAATGTTAGCATGTTCCGCAACTACAAGTGTATTTCGTCAACAAACTTGACTATCGTTGTCAGTTGAAATTCGGCTGTCACGAAACTTGTATTAAAACATGTTGATGTATTTGATCAGACTGTTTTCTACGGAATTGTCGACAATGGAAAACCAACCTTAGAGCGGTGGTGTGTAGATCTTTTTTAACGATTCAATAAAACCGCTGCAGACAAAAGATACCGTACAAATTAGGTATAGGGTAAACAAAGACATGTAAAGTGTGATTTCTATCGTGGCTGTAAAATTTTTTAGGACAAATTGTTGCTACGAATTTAAAATGAATTGGCGTTCTTAAAGTTACATTTTTGGAAATACAAACATTTAATTAGTAAAAAAAATATTAGTACTGTTTAGTTGCGACTTATCGATTTCCAGTAGTGAAATGTACACCAAATAAGACGTTACATAAACCTCTATCTTTTTTATCCTGTTTAAGCGCAAACAAGAACGGGAGCGGCCATTAATTACGTGTGCTGTTTTTATTCCATTTTGCACCCCGACACACCCCCGACGAGATTTAGTGAGATTTGATGGGACCCCCACCCCCTTACATGAGATCACACGGTACTTGTTAGAGTTTTAAATTTATTCTACTAGATTAAAACAACAAAGCGTACACCTTAATTTTGTTTTTATTTATATGTTTTACACTATATAGGACGTGTTTAAAAAATCTATATTGTTATCTCGGTTTTCTTTTTCAAATAGTACGAGAGGGAAAATGTTTTTCGTACAAGTGTGTCTGCAGTGGGACCAGTAAGGGTGTATCGTTATGCATAGTCACGATGCACTCCCAGCGCGTGTAATGCTCGCCTATTTCTGAGCGGGAGTAACTAATGAATATTCAATTTGCTCCATCACAGCTATGGAGATTTTACACACAACTTGCTGTATTTTATAAAGAATGCGTGTATTAAATATATTTAACTAAAGATTATAACGAAATGGAATGTGTGCTTGCTACTTAGAGATTATTTTAGAGATAATTTGTTTTGATTTCGCGTAAAAAGTAAACCGTTGATTTTAATTTAATTCCATATTCATAATAATTGCATTAACATAATAAAATACAATGTTCATTTTGGAAAATAAATGGTTTGCACAAATTTCCCGATGTTTTAATTTTAAGTAATTAGCAGTATATAAAAGCGGCTAATAAATATGTCAAATAGGTAGCTTTCACAACTTATTAAAAAACTATGTTACATTTTAGTTAACTTATACGTTCAATATTAGATTATTCTCGTATGTTTGGAACAATACTTTGTTAGAGGAATGTCGAAACTGTTAGACATGGGTCAATTGTTTCATCAACGACTATGTATTCCGTTTCCATACAGCTAGCGCTACTTCGTTAACTTTAACAATACTCTATTGTTTCCATTTCTGTGAAAAACTACACTAAAATGTAGTACAGTGAATATCTTAATATTGAAAACGAATATTTATAATTATTTTAGTTTTTGAAATGTTTGTAACCTATTTCCAATCGCTCACTCTTTTGAAGGGCCCTCGACGAATCTGTACTATAAGTATAAGTGTTTTACTAATTAGTTTATGTTCATTATGAATTTTATTCATATTCGGATACTAGACGTGATTTATGTATAAAGAGATATATCGAATAAAAGCAAAATGGCGCAGAAATAGAATAGTAGTGAATACGAATTACCCTACATTGTGTACGATGTATGTGCTTGGCAAAATGTATTGTGCAAAAGGAAGCCGCGAGCTTTGTGAAAATGTCACTTACTCCTTTTTGAGCTTTTTTGGCAGAGAAATGAAACAAGAATGGAACATTAATTTTTCACTTTAAAAAATAGCCGCCGGAAAACTGTTTCAGGCCAAAGCTACGGAGTTTTGAAAATGCATTAAAACGGTTGCTGTATTGAAAATTCAATCCACTTATGTGTCACTTTTTAGCTATTGTGTTTTGTAAACATTTTTACAAAAGATTCTAGAGTTTACATAATCCGTTGGTTTAACCTAACCAACTGCCAAGCACTACGTAATAATTTTTATATAGCAGTTTTACTTTTTAATTAATGTAGTTTGAGTATAATTAGAGTGGTTAAACATGAAGCAGACGCGACTTCGTGACGCCCGCCGTCTTATTGACCCGAGTTAAAGTTTGAAAGTTTCATCTGTTACCGTGGTCGTGAAACTCGAAGACTTGCTCTAACGAAGATTTATAACTCGATAAATTTTTATAAGTCGCGTTAAATATAATAAGTTAAAGTTTACGATCCGACACCGACCGCGGCGCCGAGGTATAACAATTTGTGCTATTGTTTCGATAGTTGTGCTTCAACGGCAGCAAAACAATTGCACATCGCATGCAATATACATACCTAGCGCTCATTGTTGCAACTTGAGATCGTTAAAATATCTAGATACCAGCTTTTGTCCGGGGCTCCGTCCGCGTAGAATTAAAGAAAAAAACAAAGATAAGCCTATGTGTTCTTCCATATTATCCTCTACATCTATATAGCAAATTTCATCGAAATCCGTTCAGCTGTTTAGGCTCGAAACTCTAACAAACATCCATCCATCCATCCATCTAAACTTTCTCATTTATAACAATAGTATGATCCATCGTTTGTTTATAAGAAGGTGGGAAGTATAGTTCGACGAAAGTAGAGCGTAAACTGCGGTTTAAATACAAAAACATGATTCTATAATTCAATTTCCAATTCGGAATCAGGAAATGTAAGTCATAAAAAAGATTATGTACACTGACGTGTTTGTCCATCTTGAACGTACATTGTACTTATGTTTCGGCAGATAACTGTGCTCTATCTCTCGGCATCGCATTAAGGTACGCATTTCGCCTCGCATTGAGATCGATACCAATTACTGGTGTTGCTTACAGATCAATAGTCCTCAATAAACAATAACACGCTATTCATTATCACAATATAACTTTAATTAAGTAGGATTTAATTGTTCTCTGTACTAATATTGTATAGGCGGAAATATTTGTATTTTAGTATTCACATAAAAACTACTGGACCGATTTTAATAATTCTTTCACTGTTGGAAATGTAATTTATTTAGACGTAACATAGGCTATGTTTTCTAAATTTAATTTCACTTTTCATTATATAAAATTACGAACATTACAAACACAGTTCTATCTGTTTAACACTGAGTTAAGATCGCTAAAACGTCTTTATATTAGAATAACATAGATAATACATTTCTGTGTTTTTTCGTTTGTTTTGGAAAATGGAAACACAGTATGTTACAATAAGCTTTATTCGAAGAACTAAGGTAAGTACTGAGTAACTGATGTATGGTTGTAAAATCGATTAGAGTCGCATAATGCATCTCATTGTTTCCCTCGTAACAAGGGTGATTAATGAATTGTGGTTACATGAAACACTTTACTGTTTAATGAATCGATTTCCGTATTGACATAATAAATGCAAAGCGAACTAAAACACTCGCATTGTTATTTACATAAGTATGCCGTTGTAACATGTATGATGTTAAGCTCTAGATTATGTTTGAATGGCAAAATTATCGGTATATTCAAAAGGACAGTGATAAATGTTGATTTTGTAAGTAAAGTTGATGGATTACATTCCCATTAGTGTTTTGTTGCTAATTGACACAATTTGTAGGTTTTACTTTAACTATAAGAAATTTGTTGTTTAAATGCATGCTAATGGCATTTAGATATTTTAATTTTTGCAACAATAGTTCAGGACGAATTTTGACCGCTTCTTTTCGTTATAGCATCTTTTCTAGGGCAAGCTAGCGAAAAATTAACTGCAGTAAGTTTCCAATAAATGTACTTAAATGTAACCTTGTCCAATTACATCGCAATTTTACCAATTTCTGTAAGCAAATGTGATGATCCTTCATCTCATATTTCTAAACAGTAACGAACAGATACATAGGTACATATAAAACTATATCATAGTTTTAGATGTATGTTCAACAAATACAATACGCTGAACGCAATCCAAACATGAATATTAATTTAAGGTTCAACCGTAGTTAAAATAAACAGAGACTAGATACAGAAATGTCCTAAACCTATCGCTATCTTGATCATGTATTATGTTATTTCTTTATGATATTTATGGGTCGTACATTAATCACGTATTTTTAAAAAAACTTTTTAACCTCCTCTCTAATGAGGTTTAGACTACCCGTCTCAATACTCAGGACCACCTGTTCTTTAAAAAAGGATTTCTTGAAATTTCCATAAAATTATCTATTAATACAGCTGTAATGCGATTTAATTAATTCGATTATTAATGATTTGTTACTTACTACTTTTTATTAAGCAAATGGTTGTTAGTTACTTACATATTAAAATCGAGCCAAGCATCACTTAATATGTACCTATAAAGTATGTAAAGTAAGGTAAAATGTAATTATTGTAATGCTCCCGCCGTCGACCTCCACTTGGTAACAGAGAATAAGTGAGCTATTTCAGTTCATAGTCAGAGTATCTCTGGAAAGATAATGTTAAACAAAGAGGAACGGTCACGAGCGGTGTCTTGCCTTGTTTGTATTTTAATAATTTGTTAACCTAAGTCTAGGAGTAACAAGGAAGTATTTTTATTATGTTTTAGCTAGCGTTTTTATAAAAATAAATTAAGTTAACAAGGACGTCGCCAATTGGTGAAAGTGGGCAGTAATTCCCATCCTTCTGGAGAATAGAAAAAATATAAAATTGATGTAGTTACAAACTACTTACAAATACTAATATTTATAATCCATACACACATAGATAATACAAAAACTTCTTGTCAGTTTACTCTATTACCTAGCGAATAAGTATTATCTTTGGTATAATAAAAGTTTTTTCTACTGAAGGTAATGAGACACTCTTGCAAGTAAATCTACCGTTAATTGAAATATTTTCGTTATTCTTGGAACGAGTTTTAAAGGAATCCTTAACGCCCTCGTTGAAGTATCACAATTT